TTTTTAACTGTACACACGTTGTGTGTTCACGCAAGTAGCACCCATGCTCTCGAGTGAGTGAGTAAAGAGTATGGAGTCTCATCTTCGGGTGATACGCATACCTTTTCGGAGCCGCCATGGCGAACTTAGAAATTCCGATATTTACTAACGGTCCATGTCTGTGTTCACTGGCTGACTTCTCAAATGCTCGCGCCTCATTGACGCGATACGGCAATTGTTTCGCGATGATGAGTATGGAATATTTATTGACAATTCTCAGTGAATGACATGTCCAGTGCATACGTCAATTACATCAGAATCGACATAACTGGTACAACGATAGTGCATATGCACGCTGCCAATAACGCGTGAACAATCAACTTCCTCTGCAGTATCCGATACTGCAGAAAATATGCAGAGAATGCTCTTGAAATCGATCCCGAATATCAGGGTGGTTCATACGACATTTAATTAAGCCCGACAAGTGTTTCAACATGGCGCCGGGCGCCAGACGCCCCATGCAGCTACCAACTCTCACAAACGAAGAATTATTGGAGGATGTTCCTATTCTTGGATCCGCATATTATTGGTGTGAAAACCAATACTCTAAATTGTGATGTCCCGTATGCCGTTTACTCACCTGCCTCTCCCCTCGTACGGTGGGGGCCCGCCAACAGACTTCACTCGATGGTAGACGTTGATCGATCCGAGCTCATCTGCTTCCACCACTGACCAGACTCGACCGAGCCGGGCCATCGCGGTTGAATCCTGAGAGAAAACTCATACCACGCTGCCGATAACACATGAACAATCAGATCCCTCTCCAGAACATGTGCTTACTAGTACCGTGGTAGACCTACCTCATGGGAAGCAATGACGATAGTCTGCGTAGCATTGACTTGCATTCCAGTAACAGCAAACCTGAATGGGCATCTGTAAAATATAAAAATAATATATTCATAGACCCGCCTGGGATCATCTAGCTTAGCTTGGTCGTCTCCAGCATCATCAGCTATCTTTAGCTGCAATGGTGACGCATAATCAACATCAGTGTGTTTTTCGAACTCTATGAATCTAACTTCAAGGTCAGTCATACGCCACCTCATCCTGGAGCTATACAGAGGGTCCCGAGGCAAACCGTTCGAGACAACCCCACCTTAGAAATGGGGGGCTCGAGCGCGTGTCCGGACGCTGTATGAGTCGCCGAAGTAGTATGTGCAATGCGTGAGTCCTCGTCCCTAAGGCGAGGGCTAGTGATGGACCTTCAGCGTGGAAAGTGTTACTGATGGTGTCCGAGGTAGCCATTGGTGCGCGAACGAGTGTCTTGGGAGGTAACGGTGGGAGAAATGCATGTCCGCATCCAGTCAACTAAAGAACCAAACCAACCTCCTTCCCAAAATGTGCTCTCGGTTTCCTCAGCTGAGCTCAGGACGCTCGCTACATTATTGAATTTCACACATGACTCGGGATGAAAGTGTACAAAAACCAACGAGAACTTCCTACAATTTTCTCATTGTCACCAACACTCGTATTCGATCGAGTGAATTTCCCCCACACTAGACATTATCAGTCAAAAGATGCAGCTTACTTCCATCATCAGGGAGTCGAACTCAGAAAATCTCCTATACACGGTCCAGGATAGGGATTGGTACCTACAACAAGTTACTCGTGGGTAAAAAGATGATGCCGTATTAGTGTCTGCAGGGCTCACATGACGTCGATTTTAAATCTGACTGTATTCTCGTCCTCAACAGGAGTTGATCCAGTGATGGAAGTCCGAATACTATTGGTCGGACTGGGACGATTCAGCCTTCTTGTCGCAGCGATTACCATGGCCAAGAGCGGCAGGAGGAAAACTTCAGCGATATCGTCATTAGCATCCGCTACTATCACACAAACACTGAGGTCCAGTATGCAGCTGAATGAGACAATTGACGGATCGGCATGAAGCGATACATGGGGGAAAAGGGACCTTGAGGGAATAGCTAGCTCGTAACGATCGATCAACATAGTTATACGCATTGGCGTGCTCTAACTTCTCAGGCTTAGAGTTACCGATTCGATTTGATAACATTACACAAGAGACAGTAGAACTCCACTCGATGATAGGGAGTGTGATGACAATACTACAGAGAATACCGATAGTCGATAGGCATACATAAAAAAGATGTAGAGAATTCGTCTCAATCTCCTCGAAAGCTAATCGGGCATTACAAGTGTACAATGATCCAATCCCGAATCGACTAAGAATCGATTCTGAAATTGATCATCACTCGTGAGCAGCGGTTTCGGTTTGCTTCGCCACCGCGGGATCTTGTACAAGTTGAATAAAAAGGTCGCCGTTTTAGAGTGTGATATTTTCTCCGAGCACGGAATAACTCGCGCAAGATTTTTCCTTCTTTAATCGTTCATCTTAAGCGTCCGATTGTGATGATTCCTAGCATTCCTCTCTACCCAACTCGCAGTCAGTGTGCCGGATGAGTTTTTCCTATAATTGTATCAGAAGCTGGCCTCGGTCAGTAGCTGTGTGTGTAAGAAAATCCCGTAGTAGTGTCTGAGGGAGTCCTTGGCTCCTCACTGGCCCCTTAGGCTACGAGGGACAGCCTCTTGCACAAGAGCAAGGCGAATCCGATGTTGATGCTGGCATTACATAGTGGGGGAGGATTCCCCTTCATTTTTTATGAGGTTCGTGTTAGCTTTTAATTTGTCAGCAATGGATCACACCAAAGTGAATGAACTCAAGGGCTTCATCGACACCATTAAGGCCCGTCCAGAGTTACTGCAGCTCCCCGAGCTCAGATTTTTCAAGTACGGCATTTCGCCGGGTTCAGTCTTGGATGTTTTCTCCGCCTTAGGACTTATCTAGAGAGCTTGGGAGCTACAATTCCAGAAGTCGAGCAGTCGTCCTCAGAAGCAACATCGTCCTCGGAAGAAGAACAGGTGGACCTAATCCGTATCTTACGTGAGATAACCTAAGATACCTCCTCGCTTAGATGCCTCGGACGCACGAAACTCACGGCGACAGCTCCCCCAAGCACCCAGCCCCCGAGGAAGAGGAGGAGGAAGAGGAGCCCCCGATTGTGGTAATTCACAAGTGTGTTAGTAGACAAATGATCCCTCGATAGGATCCTCCCAAGCCCGACGAGTCCATCTTCAACGACCCCTCAGACCCAGAGCGCTTGGAACCCGAGTCGGAGCCTGTCTTGCCCTCTGGCCCCGTGGATAAGGTGGGTACTGCCCTTGAGGCGAGTCGAGGGATGGGGTCTTTTTAGGACCTTAATGACGATGAGATGGACCAACAAGCTGGACTCAAGCAAGAAGCTGTTGAGGCGATGGAGGACGGTGACCTGGAGAAGGCTCTGGAGAAGTAATAACTCAAACTATTAATTAGCGAGTTTCATGCTCCATCTGAGCGTATCACTCATCACATTTGATGATCAATGACTTACTTTGGCAACGTAGTATATGCTAACGTAGTGCGAGTACCCTTTCTAGTTAGTGTGATTTCATTATTAAATTATCATCCTCGTTGGCATCTTTGGTGGTACTACCCACTTTGTTTTTCGCAGATACACTAAAGCCATCAACATCGGTGGCGCGACCGCTCTCCTGTTTGCTCGAAGGGCAGCGGTGTTATTGAAGCTGAGGAGGCCCTTGGCTGCTATGAATGATGCTGATGCGGCTCTGTAAGGTTACGGAATCCTCGCTGTGCGTGAGGAGTATCTTTCTCGTCATCTTCAGGAAATTAAACCCTGACAGTGGAAGAGCGTACAGGATACGCGGCGTCGCGAATAGGAGGTTGCAGAGGTAAACCTGAGCGACTAAGTCGAAGCCTTACATATGGCCTCAGATGGGAAGAGGCTCATTCGGACTTAGCAGCAGCCCAGAATATAGATTTTGATGAGGCTACTGAGGAGATCCACAGGTAAAGAGACCTTTGAAGGGTTTGATGGTGTCTACTGATGGATTCTTGCTAGGTTTGTTGATGAGAAATGGTCGAAGATTGCTCAGCTAAGGAGAGATTATCAGAATGAGGTAGAACAGAACGACAAGTTGAGGAAGGAGAGGGAGATCAAAAAGCGGAGGTGACACGGTGGTGACACTGGTGACTATTGATTGTGTAGTTATTGTAGGACAGCTGCGCAAAAGGCCTATGACGCCCAGAAGAAGGCTGAGGGGTCCACCTCTAGCTCAGCGGAGGGGTTCCCTAGTGGAGGCATGCCGGGAGGAATGCCTGGTGAGGAGCAACGCTCCGCTGTTTAGGGTAGTGTTTATTGATTTAGGTGGTATGCCCGATATGGGAGATCCGGATCTCCAGGCTGCATTCAGTAACCCCAAGGTCATGGCTGCTATGCAGGATATGATGCAAAATCCGGCCAATATGATGAAGTAAAGTATAGCGGAGCGAAGCGATTCACGTTTTACATTTTTCATCATAGGTATATGAGCGACCCTGAGGTCGGCCCTCTGCTGCAGAAACTGATGTCGAAGATGGGTGGAGGAATGCCTGGAGGATTCCCGGGAGCTCCTACTCATTAAACACACTAAGTTGATCTATCGTTAATCATATCACTCGGGAGTTTCTACTTTTTCGAATTCGTGTTTTCGGCTGTCGTGGTGGTCGTGGTCGTGGTTGTCACTACGTTGTAGAGTAGCTTTTATGAATATGGACGCACTACACCCTGAAGAAGCCAGAGTGAAGGAGGGAGAGTACCCTTCTAACGAGCATCCCCTCGAGACTGCCTGGACTTTCTGGTGACCATTTTCGGACCTGTTTTGTATCTTTCATACAACGACCTTAGGTTCGATCGTAAGTCTGGCGACCGTCGTGAATCGGACGCTTATGTGGAGGGCCTCAAGCAGGCTGGAACCTTCAACACTGTGGAAGGCTTCTACAGACATTACTCGTAGGATTAGGTGCCGACCCGCATGGGAGGCGATTGTGTTAGGCACTGCGTTCGCCCCAACGAGCTGCCTCCCAATGTTAATGTTCATCTATTTCGGAAGTAATAGTCGCTGATTAGCTTAGCTTTGGAACTGTTCCTGTGTAGGGGGTACAAACCTATGTGGGAGGAGTTCCCTGATGGTGGCTGCTGGATCCTGAGGATCAAGAAGAAGAGTGCTAGAAATCACTTGGGCCAGCTTTGGGAGACTCTGGTCATGGCTTGCATCGGTAGGTTCTATGAGAGCTTGTTTAACTTACCAGTATTTACTGGGAATGTTCTGGTGTTATTTGCTTGTGAGGTTTGTATTACTTACTAGTAATTGACTAGTTTGTGATATTTCTCAATACTAACTTGAGAAAATGAATTATGCGCTAGAGTATGAGATTCAGAATCAGTGTAGTAAACTCTTTCTCCGTCCAGGTGAGCTTTTCGAAGTGCCCGATGTAGTAGGCTGTGTGCTTTCTACGCGCTATAAGGATGATATCATCTCAATCTGGAACTACAGCAACGCCACCAACCCCCAAGTTAGATTCAGGTTAGTCCCCAGGGTCGCTCGCATGATGAACCAACCTGAAATGCGAGTCGCATTTCCGTATGTTTTGTCGCCATTCAGAATCTGTGAGAAGTTCCGTGAGATCCTCGGCCTCAACCTTTCAACTGTGGTGCAGTATAAGGAGCATATGGGCTCGATGCAGGATGGATCGACGTGGGTGGCTAGGCTAGCGCTATTATAATATCTGTATTGGATCAGTTACCGTAACGCCCGCAGCTACACCTTCTCTGTGACCCCGACTACGGAGCCGGCTGATGCAGCTGCGCTGGCTAGTGGCCTCTCGGTAAGGCAGAAGGCTTTGGGTTGAGCTCATCAGTGTTGGTTCTTTTAGGATCAGATTTTGCCCCCTGCTGCTACTGGGGAGCATGCCGCCGCGCCTGCTGAAGGAGGTGAGTTTGTTGTTATACTAGGAATCGAATGTATGTGTGTGATCGTTATATTAGGAGTAGCAATGTTCGTTCCTTATTGCCTTTTTCGCTAGTGATGTAATAGGAGAAGACTCCCGCGAGTAGTACGATTCATAGTGTGCATGTTGAGAATCATTGATGAAGTATTTCGATCACAACTCTCATGAAGGAGCTTTATGGGATTCCCGTCGACTTGTCGATCGCCACTCCTCTGAGCAGCTCGATTTCGATTTGAGTTTTTATCTTCCTTCAGAATCGAATAAGGACGAGCAGAAGTGAAGATACTATGAAGCTGTGAGCCGCATCGAATAGCGTATGTGTCACAATAACAACTCCTATTACTACCAGTTGCTGCCTCGTATAACGCTGTACACATTAGTACACTAATTGGTGGTACGGTTGATGTTCGCATACTGCTGATGTTATATTTCTATTCCACTACTAGGAGCAATAAAAGCATTTATATCCTTTGAACAGCGAAGATTACTGCGACGGCGGTGCTGATGATGTTGCTGCTGGACTATGGTTCTCCTAAGGTTTCAAAAGTGGCGTAGATCTTGTGTTTGTCGTTAGCTTGTGAGGAGCGTATGATAGAATAGTTGACAGTGACGAAGTTGCAAATATGGGAAGATTTACTAATAGTGGGACGTTTTCAATAGGGAAGCGGAGAAATTTCGTTTCCTTGACTTTTCTCATAATCAAGGAAACGGTAGCTGAATATTCCAACGGAACGCGAATCACGTTACGTGAGGAAAACTAATAGCAATCGGAACACCGATCTCAACCCGTGTTCACTCAGTCATGGGAATACATGAACATGTATGTGCTGATGAGAGAGCCCAAGAGCCGGAAGCCAGAGCGAGGGTCAGACACGGTTCCGTGCGGAAGAGAAGGATAACGTCGCCTGCCTTGGCGCCGGGAAGCTCCGGGTAGCTGTGAGTGGCTGAAGAGAAGGTAACAATACGTGACTACCAATGCTTGCGAGGGATAGTACGAACCGACTAATACGACACCAACGATCTTGCTCGCCACTGGCGGCATATGACCGGATTACTAGTCTTAGGCACGCACATTGGGCACAAGACTACTGTTTCGATCCTCCAGCTACATTTCCTATCAACTGCGTTTCTTTCTAATTGTAGCTATCTTCGCTTTGCTTTTTCTGAGCTCTGTATTTTATCGTACAGGGTCTACCACGGATTCATGTTAGTTCAAGATTGTTAGACGCTCCATTTGCGTCATAATGATAAGAGAGCAGAACGGCTACAAAAATGATATTTACGACTCAATTAGTTCAGCTGGATAGAATGTCTGCCTACGGAGCAGATGATCGTATCTTCGACTTATGTACCGGGTACTTTTATGAACGCCGAGAGTAAGAAATGTGCCGTGGCAACTTTTTTCACAGTAACTATCCATCGTTTACGCTATGATGTACAGAAGATAGAGCGAATGCAAGAACCTTCTGCATTGCCCGATTAGTTCAGCTGGATAGAATGTCTGCCTACGGAGCAGATGGTCGTAGGTTCGAATCCTGCATCGGGTACTTTAATGAACACATAATCTTGAGCGTACTATCACAACTGTCTCTACTGGTATTATCTATCGTTAGCGCTATGATGTACAGGAGATGGAATAGATGCAAAACGCTGCATCATAGCCCGATTAGTTCAGCTGGATAGAATGTCTGCCTACGGAGCAGATGGTCGTAGGTTCGAATCCTGCATCGGGTACTTTCATGGTCACTAAGTTGGATTCAACGACACGCCCTATAGTCACAACTGTTCCCACGTGAATCCTCCATCGCCTCGGTGTAAAACATTTCCGATAATTTAGCTATTGACATCTCACCACCGAGGCGCTCATACAGAGGCTTCTTGTTAGCCATCGCTTGAGCTCGTCTTACCTAAACCAAGAGTAGCAAGCACTCCCATGTAGACGTCGTCCTTCATTAATTGAATACTGCCGTCACTTACATCATGATTAGCCGGTTTGACGATCCGGGAACGGCACGTCTCCATTAGTATGATGCAAGAGTCTATAGTCTCGGGATCTTGATCAGCCTCCTCAAGCACTGAGTAAGAAAAATAGTTGAACCTTCACAATTTCAGAATGGTTTCTTATTTTGTCAGCTACCATTCTGATGTACATCAGAGCTCGAAAGAACCACCCAACTTGCACGCATACTCAAACGGTGAGACGTGCACAGCTTTATTTTCGCACTGCACACTATAGAGTTCACGTTTGAGTTCTCAAACAAGACGGTACTAGTGCTAGCTGAGCTGTCAAACTCACGGGATTCCAATAACAAAAATATTCCCACAGCATGAAGCACATGCTTTGAAAGGGAAGCCAGATATAATCGCCGAGTGCTAGTCTCTGCCGCGGAATTTCCACGGCGGAAACGAGTTGTAGTTCTCACCGTTCTTCATAAGACTCACGAAGGCATCCATATGGTAGTCGTATATATCAATCATCTGATGAATCCGCTTCAGTTCTCTCCCTTTGTATCTGCAAAGGATGCCTTCTGCGGAAGATTCTCTCAGTTCATTGTTCAGCGTGAGATATGTCGGATATCAGCCGACTGCGCCTGCGGTGGCGTTATGATTTCCTCGATAAACAATCTCTTCTATACTTCATCACTTTCCAGAGAGCACCGTTGGACCAGCTCACTCTTCTGCGCCACCAAAAAGGTGTGTTAAAAACTTAGTCTGAGACTGCGCGATCGCCGCTAGCTTCGCTCCGCCCAAGAATGGGGACAATCGTTCATCCCTGTCCACTAGTCTGCTTGAAGAAAGGGTGACAGCTCGTCTACACTGGGTCGCTCCCTTACTCGTAGAGTCGCTGTACGGCCTTCGCGATACCCTCCTCACCACCGAGCTGCTTGAACAGACCCTCAGTGCCTTTCAACAACGAAAATAAGTACATCAAATACTCAGTCGAAATTTGGCTTCTGCCGAAGCTGGAAATGCACGAGATGACCCAGCTTACCGCCTATCTCTGTACGTCTCTTGGCCAACTCTAGTCGGACAGTGCAGCCTGCTGTGATAATTCCCCGGACATGAGAGACACATTCAAGGAAGTCCACCCTTACCTAAGACGATATAAACGTAATCAATCGCGATAGAGAAGGACGAAGAAACACTAGCGATATCGTATGATGGTTCGAATGAATCTTGATTTTCTAATCCAGGAACCCTAAACGAAACATGCCGTGAAAATGAGAGAGAAAATGAGACCCTTGAGATGCGAAGAGGAAATCCATCGCAGTCAAAGAGAAGTTTGTGGTGATGCAACTGCAGGGCTGTAGCCGTACCGTGGTGTCGATCTCCATAAGCTCGCAGGCAACTTTCATATTTTCCATCAATGCATCGAAATGGTAATCCGTGATATTGATACCTGCCAAATTGAACTACGGCTCAAAATCTAGGCCGTAACCATACCGCGATGAACTTCCTTCAGCGCCTACACGTCGTATTTGACTTCAGGAGCTCCTGTTATCATCGAAAGGAATGTACACATCCTCTCCTTTATTTGCTCAACCTAAACTATGGCTTCTATTTGCCCATGGAATTGAATAGAAGAGTATTTGAAAACCTCCGGCTCGAGCGCTGGTACTTCCGCAATGATCATCAAAATAGATGAGTCTGCCTCGCTAGGGGAAGCAAGCACCAGGACGTCGTACTCACCAGTCTACAGAGGCTTCACTGTCCACTTACTCTGTCTTTGGGAAGATCAAAGAAGAACTTGATGCGCGGATCCAGCAAGGCACCGCTGTACATTGTCTCAACAACAGCCTCGAGATTCATGTCTCCACCGATACGCTCGAATATCGTGGCACCTGATTGGGCTAGGAATGAGACCAGCAGGGCTTCGGGAGAGTAGTTCTACCGTCCACTAGTTTCAACTGAGACAACTGGTCACGCTTCCTGTTGAGGACATGTGCCCGAGCGAATTCAAGAGTTATCAATACCTGCGACGCGCTGTTAAGGTGTGATAAGGCAACGCGTCACTTACGTCAGCGATGATGTCCTCTTCCACCCCCAGCCCGTGGAGAGCCTTTTCCGCGTTGATCAGGAAACAGTCGAAATAGAAGTCATCCAGACCTGGATGGAATCAGAACGGCTGCTGTACAGGGCCAGATCGGACGATTACGAAACTCGGCAGACGAGTCGGAATAGCAGACTATTCATCAGGGTTCCTTCGAACTAATTGCCCCTCGTCGAGTAATAATTAAGCTAGAGAAATAGCAAACATCAGCCCGTCTAGCTCAGTCGGTAGAGCGCAAGGCTCTTAACCTTGTGGTCGTGGGTTCGAGCCCCACGGTGGGTGTATCTTATCACCCATATCAAGCATCTGTCTACGTCTACACAATCTACGAGATATTATTGTACTGTTCACTATACAAAGGCAGAACAGACAGAACCTGCATCTTCAACAGCCCCCCTCACCGAGACCCCTGTGTATATCCTCCATTTCTCGACCTTTATACTGTGTTGGCCCCCCAAAACGCTCCGTCAAGTAGCCTTGGAAGCCTGTACGTATCCGATGCAAATCCCTTCCTTAAACGGCATCACTCGTCAATGTAAAGGCAACCCCTCACCCTGGAAGAATCTCTTCAACCGTCGATCGACTTTGCTCAGGTCAAAAAGTCTCTTAATGAAATCCTCCAGGTCTTCGTCGTATCGCATTTTAACGGACATCAAGTCCGTACCTGCCAAATACTTGCACGATGAGCACGAAACACGCATGGAGCAACACACAAGAGGAAGGCGAGACTAGCACACCCTAACGAACAAACACCATCTCACACATCTCTTCATTTCTCTTTGTGGCTTGCATTCGAACAGTGCACGAAGGCTCTTCCCAGTAAGCGAGGTGAGCCGCATGTACTCACCGAGGTTCATGAAGAGCCTTCACTGAAGATTTGATGGAACAGCCGAAGAACGTCTCAATGTTGTTCCAGCATGCGCCCAAACTTCAACGCAACGATAAAGAATAATTAATAATACATCATTGCATAGTCTGATACTTTAATGGTGGACCGTTATACATGTCATGTCACGTTAGATTCACTCCATCCTGAGAGGAATAGTACTGATGAACGCACGAGATAATGTGAGACGAGAACCTACATCATATTCTTGTAATGGTGGTGGAGAATTTGAGGTCGGAGCTTTTCCAGATGAACCACGAATTGATCGATGGTTTCATTGTTAAACCCCATCATCCTGAGGCCGACGAATTCTGCGAAGGGAAGTAGAGCTCTTAAAACTCACCCTAGGCACTTCTGGATGTTCAGGAAAAAACAGTCAACGTGATAGTCGTTCATCGCTATAATTTGATGCACATCCTCGAGACTCCGTCCCTTGTATTGATTAGGACCGCCGAAGAGCTGAAAGCCAACATATGACCGAGCATCTTGAAACGAGCCAGCTCACGCCGATGAAGTAATCCGTCTGTGCTTTTTTTATTGCCTGTAGCTTAGCACCCTCGAAGAACATGTATATACGCTTATCGCGCTCCACACGTTCGTATCTTCCACAAATCAATCTTTGCCGTGACCGGAAGGTTATGATGTAGACTACAGTTCAGTTATCGCACACAACTCGTAACACACATGCTCAACGTATCCTTACAATTGGTCTACAAATTTCTCCACTCCTTCAACTTTTCCAATTCTCTTGAACAGCTCCTCAATGCCATCCTCGTTGGTTTTCCGCTCAGCTGCGTCCATCCGAACCCGAGATCCTGATGGTACGTGTTAGCGCACGAGTCACGCTGACCATCAGTACGCACCTGCTATAATATCCGACCTCACCGAGTTAAGTATCTGCAAGGCATCAGATATTGCCTGTGAGGAACATTGTTCGAGATGAGAGAGGACTCCCTCAATAATGGTGCTATACCGGGTGTTTCAGGTCACTACGAATGCCCGGAACCGCAACGGCTACGTTTATGCTCAACATGAGTGCGTTGAACCCACGAGCTCATAAAAGTCACTTCTATTATGAGTCGTCCTAAAATGAATCATGGAGTGCCTCACATCCTCATCTAAATCTTCGAGCTCTTCTGCACTCTTTACGAAGCACTCGAGGACGGCATCGAAATGGTAATCAGAGATGTTCATGTCATAGTGGACAGGCTTTAGGTCATCTTGATCGTATCTGACGAATCCATTTAATTCGGATGAGACAAGAAGGATGAATTGACTACCGTATGAGTCCACCAAAAGCTCCAGAGAGGAATTGATGGAGTTTTGTGGTGATGGATCTTTCCTTTGCTTTGTTTTTAGCAAAGTAGAACCTAAGTTCATGCTTCAACCACCACTCATAGCCCGATTAGTTCAGCTGGATAGAATGTCTGCCTACGGAGCAGATGGTCGTAGGTTCGAATCCTGCATCGGGTATTTCAAGTTATCGAGTAACTTACTTGATACGACTGTCTTCTGTGAAGTACTGATACATTCCCTCTGCTACTGCTTCGAGATTGCTATCGCCACCAAATCGTTCGAGTAAATTAAGACCATTACGCGGCTCTATCACGAGCTCCGACTGCCGGTCGAGTACCGCATTGCGCACCTGATGGAGCAGGAATGAAAACCGCGGGTTCCAAGCGCCCTCCAATCCTCGTAGGGCTCACTCACCGAATCAAGCGTGATGATAACCTCATCCACCAAGCTGTCCTCGTGGCCTTGTGAGAGCAACGCCCTCGACATGTCCGATAAAAAAGCGTCGAAATGATAGTCTGTGATGCACAATGGCTCGTGTATATCTGAAATGGACCGGGTTAGAGTCGGAACGATCGCCCGAGGGTGATCAACTAAGCTGTTCTGCTCTCCACTTATTGTCCCACCTGTTAGGTCACGCCCTTCATACTCCGGAGGTCCGCCGAACAGCTCAATGAAGAAGCTGAAGAGAGTTCACAGAGACCCCGGCAAGTGAAAGGAGGTCGGGTCCTACACCAGCTTAGCTTCTTTTATGATTTGCATACTATCTACGGGGAAGAATTCTCTGATACGAGCGTCTTTGCTGATGAGGTTGAAGAGGGTATCCATCAGTCGAGCTATGCCTTCTGTCTCGACTGAAGAAATCAAAGAACGAGGTCGGAAAAAAATCGAAGGGAGAACAAGGAGACGAGAGAGCTCAAGAGCCCGCGGGGGCGGGCCGCGGCTTCCATAAAATTCGATGAGGCGGGTGGATTGTGCTATTATACCCTGTTTGACGTACAGAGCCGCTCGTAGAGTCCCTCGCCTGTTTCACAGCGCGCAAGGTTTTGACGCGCCATCTCTCGGCGGACCGTACATCCGGTTGTGATCTCTGGGCGCAACTTCTGTAGTATCTGCAGCGAGCACCCACACCACCATGCGGATTGGTAATAGCACGCCCGATGTTAACGTCAAGTTGAAAACTCTATGCTAGCAGGATCGCACGGAACACTCCTGTAATCCAGGGTAGCACAGGTGAGGAATGCGAGAATCCGACCACCTACCGAAATAAGCTCTTCAAGATCTTTTGAGTTTATATGGAGGGTCTCGCCAGCCTGCCTGATAATACATATGACCGCGTCGAAGTGGAAGTCCGTAATATTCATGGAAAAGTGGGATGGTTTCAAGTCAGCCAAGTCGTATCTGGGAACTTCAACGTGGGTGTGGGAGAGTGAGGAAAAAGACTACTGTTTCGATCCTCCAGTTACAGTTCCTATCAACTGTGTGATTTTCTTTTTGATCGTAGCTATCTTCGCTTTGTTCTTCTCGAAAAAGCTCTTCGTACCTGATCTTAAAGGGTCCACCACCGACTCATGATACTCCCGATTTATGTCATAATGGCAAGATACGAGATCGGCTAGGGGAATTAAAGACATAGCCCGATTAGTTCAGCTGGATAGAATGTCTGCCTACGGAGCAGATGGTCGTAGGTTCGAATCCTGCATCGGGTACTTTAATGAACACATAACCTTGAGCGTACTATCACAACTGTCTCTACTGGTATTATCTATCGTTAGCGTTATGATGTACAGGAAATGGAATAGATGCAGAACGCTACATCATAGCCCGATTAGTTCAGCTGAATAGAATGTCTGCTTACGGAACAGATAGTCGTAGGTTCGAATCCTGCATCGGAGACTTTCATAGTCAGTAAGTTGGATTCAACGACGCACCCTATCGTCACAACCGTTCCTACGTGAATCCTCCATCGCCTCGGTCTAAAACATTTCCGATAATTTTGCTATTGACATCTCACCACCGAGTCGCTCATACAGAGGCTTCTTGTTAGCCATCGCTTGAGCTCGTCTTACCTAAACCAAGAGTAGCAAGCACTCCCATGTAGACGTCGTCCTTCATTAATTAAATACTGCCGTCACTTACATCATGATTAGCCGGTTTGACGATCCGGGAACGGCACGTCTCCATTAGTATGATGCAAGAGTCTATAGTCTCGGGATCTTGGTCAGCCTCCTCAAGCACTGAACGAGAAAAACGGTTGAACCTTCACAATTTCAGAATGGTTTTTTATTTTGTCAACTGCCATTCTTATGTACATCAGAGCTCGAAAGAACCACGCAACTTGCACGCATACTCAAACAGTGAGACGTGCACAGCTTTGTTTTCGCACTGCACACTATAGAGTTCACGTTTGAGTTCTCAAACGAGACGGTACTAGTGCTAGCTGAGCTGCCAAGCTCACGGGATTCCAATAACAAAAACATTCCCACTGCATGAAGCACATGCTTTGAAAGGGAAGCCAGATATAATCGCCGAGTGCTAGTCTCTGCCGCAGAATTTCCACGGCGGAAACGAGTTATCACCGCTCTTCATAAGATTCACGAAGGCATCCATATGGTAGTCGTATATATCAATCATCTGATGAATCCGCTTCAGTTCTCTCCCTTTGTATCTGCAAAGGATGCCTTCTGCGGAAGATTCTCTCAGTTCATCGTTTAGCTTGAGATATGTCGGATATCAGCCGACTGCGCCTGCGGTGGCGTTATGATTTCCTCGACAAACGATCTCTTCTATACTTCATCACTTTCCAGAGACCACCGTTGGACCAACTCACTCTTCTGCGCCACCAAAAAGGTGTGTTAAAAACTTAGTCTGAGACTGCGCGATCGCCGCTAGCTTCGCTCCGCTCAAGAATGGGGACAATCGTTCATCTCTGTCCACTAGTCTGCTTGAAGAAAGGGTGACAGCTCGTCTACACTGGGTCGCTCCCTTACTCGTAGAGTCGCTGTACGGCCTTCGCGATACCCTCCTCACCACCGAGCTGCTTGAACAGACCCTCAGTGCCTTTCAACAACGAAAATAAGTACATCAAATACTCAGTCGAAATTTGACTTCTGCGGAAGCTGGAAATGCACGAGATAACCCAGCTTACCGCCTATCTCTGTACGTCTCTTGGCCAACTCTAGTCGGACAGTGCAGCCTGCTGTGATAATTCCCCGGACATGAGAGACACATTCAAGGAAGTCCACCCTGACCTAAGACGGATATAAACGTAGTCAATCGCGATAGAGAAGGACGAAGGAACACTAGCGATATCGTATGATGATTCGAATGAATCTTGATTTTCTAATCCAGGAACCCTAAACGAAACATGCCGTGATCTTGAAGTGCCAAGAGGACATCTATCGCAATCAAAGAGAAGTTTGTGGTGATGCAATTGCGCGGCTGTAGCCGTACCGTGTTGTCGATCTCCATAAGCTCGCAGGCAACTTTCATATTTTCCATCAATGCATCGAAATGGTAATCCGTGATATTTATACCTGCCAAATTGAACTACGGCTCAAAACCTAGGCCGTAACCATACCGCGATGAATTTCCTTCAGCGCCTTCACGTCGTATTTGACTTCAGGAGCTCCTGTTATCATCGAAAGGAATGTACACATCCTCTCCTTTATTTGCTCAACCTAAACTATCGCTTCTATTCGCCCATGGAATTGAATAGAAGAGTATTTGAAATCCTCCGGCTCGAGCGCTGGTATTTCCACAATGATCTTCAAAATGGATGAGTCTGCCTCACTGGGGGAAGCAAGCACCAGGACGTCGTACTAATCAGTCTACAGAGGCTTCAATGTCCACTTACTCTGTCTTTGGGAAGATCAAAGAAGAACTTGATGCGTGGATCCAGCAAGGCTCCGCTGTACATTGTCTCAACAACAGCCTCGAGATTCATGTCTCCACCGATACGCTCGAATATCGTGGCACCTGATTGGGCTAGGAATGAGACCAGCAGGGCTTCGGGAGAGTAGTTCTACCGTCCACTAGTTTCAACTGAGACAACTGGTCACGCTTCCTGTTAAGGACATGTGCCCGAGCGAATTCAAGAGTTATCAATACCTGCGACGCGCTGTTAAGGTGTGATACGGCAACGCTTCACTTACGTCAGCGATGATGTCCTCTTCCACCCCCAGCCCGTGGAGAGCCTTTTCCGCGTTGATCAGGAAACAGTCGAAATAGAAGTCATCCAGACCTGGATGGAATCAGAACGGCTGCTGTACAGGGCCAAATCGGACGATTACGAAACTCGGCAGACGAGTCGAATTAACAGACTATTCATCGGGGTTCCTTCGAACTAATTGCCTATCGCCGAGAAATAATGAAGCTTGAGTAATAACCAATATCAGCCCGTCTAGCTCAGTCGGTAGAGCGCAAGGCTCTTAACCTTGTGGTCGTGGGTTCGAGCCCCACGGTGGGTGTATTGTATCACCCATGTCAAGCGTCTGTCTACGTCCACACAATCTACGAGATATTATTGTACTGTTCACTATACAAAGGCAGAACAGACAGAACCTGCATCTTCAACAGCCCCCCTTACCGAGACCCCTGTGTATATCCTCCAATTCTCGACCTTTATACTGTGTTGGCCCCCCAAAACGCTCCGTCAAGTAGCCTTGGAAGCCTGTACGTATCCGATGCAAATCCTTTCCTGAACCGGCATCACTCGTCAATGTAAAGGCAACCCCTCACCCTGGAAGAATCTCTTCAACCGTCGATCGACTTTGCTCAGGTCAAAAAGTCTCTTAATGAAATCCTCCAGGCCTTCGTCGTATCCCATTTTGACGAACATCAAGTCCGTACCTGCCAAATACTTGCACGGTGAGCACGATGCAACAGATCAGAACGAGGGTGAGCAAGCACACCCGAACGAGTACACACTAACTCACCCATCTCTTCATTTTTCTTCGCGACTTCCATTCGAACAGTGCAGCCTGTCGTTATCAGCTTACGACATCGCCCAAGTTCAGCCAGACTGTCGGTGATTGCATTGGGATGTATATCTAAATGGCCCTTCTCATTATCATACATGCGACGCATGGTAAATGTGCAGTCACATAGTCCAGCTGTGAGAAGAGACCAGCAAGAAACTTCGACGGAGCTCCCTAGATCTTCGCTCTGGACTTTCGTGACGAAGTTCCTTCCCATTGAGCGAGGACAACCGCACGTACTCACCAAGTTCTACGAAGACATGATGGAACATCTCAATAACCGCGTCGAAATGGTAATCAGTAATGTTCATGTGGTAGTGCACTGGCTGGACATTCTCCTCATCGTAGCTGCGGACAAAAAAGTCAAGCCAAAACGATTTGTAACAATCCAGGAAGGTCTATGTGTTTCACAGCATCTACAGTATCCAAGCTTCAAGTGAGCAAAATTTCCGACTGTGACCCCAGAATCACGGGCCGCAATGTGGTCATCGCATCGAGGGTAGTCATTCACGTAATCACCGCATCATGCTATCGAGTGG